CAATTTGCGTTTATTATTTGCTTGTTTAAATTATTCATATGTTTTAAAGCGTAAAATAATTTTGTAATAATTTTATATATATTACAATTTCTTTTGAACTAACCAAATCTTGTAGAAATTGTTTTAAAAATTAATTTTTAAGTAAAATAAATGTTTATTTGTATTTTGTTTTAACTGTTACATCATCTTACAGCATTTTAGATGGCGTAATTTTGTATTTTATCATTCTTGCCTACCAGTACAAAACCTTTAAGTCACTCAAATATTTGGACGTTACGTACCCCATTAAAAAAAGAATATTAATTAAAATTTGAAAATAACGTCGAATTGAGGCGCAGATTCTCATTACCTCTACCACTCCAGCCATCGTTGTCTAAATCAAAGAAAAACTTGCAGAATCTCCGAACGTGATAAATGCTTGCAAATATTCGTAGTTATTCTGAATCAGATGGGAATGGGAGTTTTTCCCTTTTCCCAATTTTGCTATTCTGAATCATAAAGGAATGGGAGATTTTTACCCAATTTTGCACAAAATGTGTGCCAAGCAAATTGTTTGGGAGACAAGTTAAAAATAAATATGACTTTTGGAAAGGAATTTAAATTTTAGTTAAAACATTAATAATTTCAATTAATAAATAAGATTATTACTTTGTTTTATTGTATATAAGAAAGAAATAAATTATGTATACTTAAAAAAAAAGAAATTAAATATAATTTACTTATACAGTATTCATTATATTCATTTCTGATATTTTATGCTGCAACAAATAATGCGATTTTTAAACTTAAATCAACATATGATACGCAATTTTTTTCTTTGTTTTGCTCATTTTCGTACTATTCGCCATTAAAAAGGGTCATTCAGAAAAAGGGAGTTCTATTGTTGGGAATAGTGTTAGAATAGGGAAACTTATTCCTTGGGTGTATTCAAAATAAGTATGAATTAGTAGTGTTTTTGTACTGAAATTGCTCTAATTGTAGCTCACGGGTATCTGTAAAGTAGATAACATGAAAACAATCACATGACAAGTCCATGGATTAGGATCTGATGGTGATGGTTGTTTGAGAGAAGAGGGGATTATTAGAGAATGGGGTGGATTGAAGAGAGATGGGATTTAAATTGAAGTCAACCGGGATTAAGATGGTGATCTCCTGTAAGGGTCGATAACACTAAGGTTTGCGTGTGTTGAAGCAGGATAACATATGGGCAACGTCATGGGGGTAGAGTTGCAGTTTGAACATACATTAGGAATTGATGTATTTATGCGTGACTGTTAAGTTACTGTAAAGTGTGTTTCGGCAAAATTGGGTGCTACTCCATTGCGTCGCGCAGAGTTGTGGAGTCCATATTGGAGCTGCATAGGCCGCAATAGTACAACCTAAAAATTTGGACATATACCATATAGTAAAGAATAAATAATATCGGTGAAAGAACACTAATACGTATAATCATATTAAACACATTGCCAGGGGAGAACAACGAGATATCGTCGAAATGCGTCGTCCGGAAAACACGTTTATATCTGCGAATATCAGGGGACACAGAAACATTGGGGAACCCATTGAATATTAAGATGATTAAATAAAAATTTTAATGGTAGTAATAGTTATCTAAATGTTCTTTACATTTATTACGTCAATGTTCATCCACGATTTGATGAATGTTTTGCCGTTCGGATAGCTATGCGGAGGTTGGCAAGAATTTTCACAAGAAAACTTTGGCCATAAAACCTTGATCCTTTCTTGAACAGCAGCAGATTTGATGGTAATGTTGATTAAATCAGAGGATTGTGTAGTGTGCATATATACTATACAACATTTCATTTCCATACTTAGTTTCAAAAATTGTGCAGCGGGAATAAGACACCGCGCGACTAGCGTCGGAGAATACATTTATAAGCGAATATGCTGATGCACACTCTATATAATATACTTTTATTTAGATAAGTCTCATATGCATGCGACTTATATCGCTAGTGGATGATATAATCAACAAATATAAAACATCAGAAGTATAAACATGATAGAAGATCGTTTGTTCCTAAACAAACAATCTCCAGTAACACAAGTTGTATAATTTTTTATTACTTCCCAAATATATTTATTAACGAGATCCAGGAGTATCTCGAATCAAGGGATGGAGGATTTACATCCCCATACCTCATATCTTTTATTTTATATTATCAAGACACATAATTGGCGCAGTCGGTAAGTTTACAAAACAAAAAATGAGCAGCTAACATTAGTCATCTATCAAAAAGATCAGCACATTAAACAAGTACAGGAACAGAGCATGTATAAAACAAATTTATCAAACCCAGCAATTTTTCCAATTCAATTGACCGCGGATCAAAGAATTAAGCGGTTCCAAACAATTAAAAGTTTCTATGGAAATGATTACCCGCTTCAAGAATTTTTAGACAGTGTGGAAAATACAATGTTATTATATTGTATTGCAGATACAAAGTTCTTTAATTGACAACAAAAGTAGTTTAATAGAAGTAATAAACAAGTTTGACCAATTGGGATTATTAGACGAAAGCGACGTTATTCATGTTACGTACAGACGTAAACATACAATACCTTTTAATTCGACATACAGTTACATGTTGCACGCTTAAAGTGAATTAAAGTAGAAATAAAACAAATAAAGTTTTATACGTAACTAAAATTTGTTTATTCAAAATTGTACTTAGTTCGATTATAAAATTTTTTATTAACTTTCTTCAGTTAAATAAATTTTTGATCATTCAATAATTTCAACAAATTTTAAAAATTTATTTCAGAACACGATTTTAAATTTTTATTAACTTTCTTTAGTTAAATAAATTTTAATGATTTCAATAAATTTTAATAATTTTTCAAACACAATTAAATTTTTATTAACTTTCTTTAGTAAAATAAATTTTAATAATTTCAATAAATTTTAATAATTTTTCAAACACAATTAAATTTTTATTAACTTTCTTTAGTAAAATAAATTTTATTTCTATTATAATTTTCACCCAAAAATTTCAAAACACGCGTTAGCACAAACAAATAATACACGATGCGAATGCAGAACAAAAAAGCCCCTGGAATTTTACGGTAGCCAGTCAATAGTCAGCTACAAGCACACCCAGCTTTGAATTGTAGAAAATTGCAAAGCTGTGTCACAACATGACTCTTAGTCGTTCCGAACACACGAAGACCGTTGAAATGTGCCGGTGAAGTGTGATATGTGACAGTTGTTGCATAGTTCTATTCATATCTGCTGTTGGGATCTTGTGTGATTTATATGTGCAATTTTCTGTTTTGCGAACGAGACGAAAGGGCAATCAGTGAAGTGCAATTTTTTGTTTCTATATTTACAAAATTTGGTTTCTTTTGGGTTAAGAGGAAATAAAGAAGAAAGGGCGTTCAATAGTAGTATTGAATGGACACACAAATTCAAAGAAATAGTCTTTGCTTTTTGTACACATTTTTTCTAAAATAAATGATTGACTTTGTGTGCATGCAATGCAAAGCTTTTTCCAAATTATTATAAATTTGATTTTTGATGAAATTTTATACTGGTCTCATACAAATATATGAGGTTTCCCTATTATGAGGTGAGTAAACACCGGCAGTAGCCCAACCATAGTTGTTGTTAGTGCAAATGGTATTAATATGTATGACAGTAAAGACAGTACTATGACCTGTACTAGCCATGATATCATGAAGTATGTTAATAAACACCATATTGTTAAATATCTATTTATGTTTTATATTTTACTATAAAAATAATTAACTTAAATGGTTACAAGTGTAAAAACACGAAAAATTAAAATACGAAAATGCAACCATGAGTGTGCAAAAATAGCAAATCGAGCGTTTGACGTTTAAAGAGGAGTATGGCGAAATACGACGCGTAGAGTGGAGGTTTTTTGGTTGCTTTGGAGCGAATGAAATAATATATATATTAAAAACTGCTACTATCAATATAATAAATAAACTAGGTTAAAATCTTAAAAGCTTTGCAAACTGTTTTATTTTACAATAACTTAACAAAAATCAGAAGTGGGATAAACAGCGCCTAGCCGAAACGTGTGAGTGTGTCCGTGGGAGCGCTAGCGCTTCAACACATTAACATGCGCGAAAGCGAAGTTAAGGTATAAAGAAAAACAAAACGAAACGGGAACGAAATGTGTTGTTTATAAATTAACGGCGGTAATAAAATGAGAATGGTGAAGTTGAAGGATATGCGTTTAAGCGAGCTGAAGGAGGCGTTGGAGGAAGAAGGTTTAGATACGACGGGCAACAAAGCGCAGTTAGTATTGCGTCTGACAGAGCACCTGAAAGCAGACGAAATCCGCGAGCCGGTAGATGTGATCAATTCACGAATAGATAATATGGAACGAATGATTCAACAACTTGTAATGGGCATAGAAAACGTGATACGAAGTAAACCTACGGAAAACGTGAGCGAAAAAAATGAAAATCAGAAGACGGAAATTACATCTACAGTGGTTAACGATTTACCACAACATGGGTCGGTAAAAGATATCAGCGAAACGATACCCGTGTTCGATCCAACAGATAAAAATGGTCTTACGGTTGGACAATTTATCAATCGCGTCGAAAGATCTCTTAATGCATTCCAATGGAATGAAAAACAACTATTGCTAGCCGTTTATGGAAAGTTAAAAGGAGTAGCGCGGTTGTGGCTGGATTCTCTACAAGAATTTGATAGCGAGTGGAGCAGTTTTTCGAATAAGTTGCGTGCAGAATTTGATGTAAAATGTGACGAAGCTGACATTAATTTTGAATTGAGTCAAGCGGTACGTAATGTTAATGAAGGCATCATTGACTATTGTTTTTGAATTGCGGCACTTGGCCGACGATACAAGATAAGTGATAGTGCCATTATAAAATATACTCGCAATGGACTAAACGACACTAAATTGCAAGCGGCGATCGCACCGCTACGGTTTAATAATTTAAAAGATTTTCGCGAAGGTATTGAGGACTTTTTACGCAATATGCAACATGGAACGAACAAAATAGCTTTGGCAAATTCATCGTCAAATCCGATAATAAATTCGAGCGTAAGTGTAGACGCAAATGAAAACTCCGGACAGAAACAGTTTAGAACGGAACCGAAGGTTAGAGCTTGCTTCAATTGCGGTGAGGCGGGACATTTTTCGCGCGAATGTTCAAAGCCACAACGTAGACAACGGTGTAACAATTGCGGAAGAGTTCACCCAAAAGGTCAGAGTACGCACTGTGGGGAGTCAAGTGTGCGTCGAATTGAACGCACCAAAGAATCGATCAGAGAAGTATACATAAATGGTAGACAATGTACAGCACTACTTGATACAGGTAGCCAGTGCAGTCTTATACGGAAAACAGTATCGAGAAATATTAATGGTCTGTCACATCGTAGTTATGATAACGATCAACAGCGTAACTCGGGTCGTCAAGAACATTACAACTACGATGGGCAGCAACAGCAAAATGATGAGACACGTCAACGTAAACACCGTCGACGACGTCAACGTCAAAACGGTCAGCAACGTCAACGTAAAAACGGTCAGCAATCACATAACGATAACGGTCAGCAACAGCACGATAACGATAATCAGCAACAAATAAAGTCACAATGTGGTCTGCAGCAATGTGGCGATGGTCTGTCACATCGTAGTTATGATAACGATCAACAGCGTAACTCGGGTCGTCAAGAACATCACAACTACGATGGGCAACAACAGCCAAATGATGAGACACGTCAACGTAAACACCGTCGACGACGTCAACGTCAAAACGGTCAGCAACGTCAACGTAAAAACGGTCAGCAACGTCAACGTCAAAACGATCAGCAACGTCAACGTCAAAACGATCAGCAACGTCAACGTAAAAACGGTCAGCAACGTCAACGTAAAAACGGTCAGCAATCACATAACGATAACGGTCGGCAACAGCATGAAAGCGATGGTTATAAAATACATAACGGTCGGCTGTATCGTATGGTTGATGATAAGCTTTTATGGGTCGTGCCGAAACGTTCAAGACATCGAGTTCTTCGGGACTGTCATGATAGCGCAGGAC